TCAGATTGCGAGTCGAGTACCCTAACCACCTGGCCATGCCGGGCCCTTTCTGTTTATTCACGTATGTTAGTTTATTATTATGTTTAAGTGTAGGGTAGGTGGTGATAGTTGTATTCTTTGATTTTGTAACTTTTTTTTTATATTGGGTCAGAAATCTTTAGGATCTGTTTTTGAGTTTATTTGTGTACAGAATGTGTCCCATTTTTGTGATTTTAGTAGCTTAATGTCGTTTCTAATTTTCTTTCTGAGCGTATTTATTTGCGTTTTTGTTTGTGGGTCACCTGTTGTCATATATTCTCTTCTTAATCTCCTTCGTTCCTTTATTTTGTTGATTATGTCAGTGTTCAATTGCCATTTGGTTTGGGTATTGTTATTGATACTTTTGGTATACATCTGTCTGCTGTTTTTATTATTACCTGTCTATATCCAGGCTGCTAGTGGCTGTTGTGATTGGTTCATGTTGGAGAAGCTCTGTTAATATCTCCTCATATTTCTTCCAATTTGCTTTTTGTAGTTAAATTTTTCTGTGTGTTTTGTTTGATTTTGGTATGGTGAGAGATCGAATACACTCCATATCGGTAAATGGTCGCTGTCTGAATCTTCTCCTACGTTGAATGCTAGAAAGTTGTTTATTGATGTTGGTGAACACAGGTCTAGTATAGCACTGGAGTGATATGTGTTGGTGTTGTATCGTTTAGTAGGAAGGTATATGAATCTTATTAATGTTGGTGAACAAATACACAGGTCTAGTTTTTCACTGGAGTGATATGTGTTGGTGTTGTATCGTTTAGTAGGTAGGTATCTGAATCTTATTAATGTTGGTGAACACATACACTGGTCTAGTATATCACTGGTATGTGTTAGTGTTGTATCGTTTAGTAGGTAGGTATCTGAATCTTATTAATGTTGGTGAACACATACATAGGTCTAGTATATCACTGGAGTGATACATGTCACTGGTATGTGTTGCTGTTGTATCGTTTAATTGGTAGGTATCTGAATCTTTCAGAAATGATAGTAGATGTATTCCATTAACATTTGTGGCTCTACAACCGAAAATTGTGTTTTTGCTATTGAAGTCGCCTATGAAAATATATTTGTTGTTGTGGGAGATGATGTTGTTTAGTAGTTGTCTGGTTTGTTTCATGGTCAACAGTATATACCTGCTATTGTGACTGTTTGGTTATTGCTTAGAAGTACATCTATTGTAATATTTTCATTTTTTGACGGTAAATGTATTGTGTTTATAGATAATTGTTTTTTGTATAGGAGTAGTATGTCCCGTTCTGAGAATTTCTTGTTTGGTCTGTCTATTTTTTCTAGTTGGTATCCCGCCATTTTGAAGGAATGGTAGATGTAGAGCATTGTTTCGGTGATAAATATGATATCTACCGATGTGTTTGTGGCAACGTGTTCGATCTCATGCCGCTTGAAAACAAGGCCACCTTGGATATTTATGTGTAGTACAGTGAGAGTATTCATTGTGGTATGATGTTAGTTATAATTTTGTGTATTATGTGTGGTATTAAATGTTGTAGGTGTTTTTTGATGAAATTGATAACCACTGGTATAATGTCCGTATTGTTATTTGGTTTACTATATTCTTTAAGGAATTCGGTGATTATGTTTGTAATTGCTGTTGCTAATTCTCTGTTACCTTCATTCTGCTGGGTTCGTTTCTTTGTTGCTGGTGTTTTTCTTTGGTTTTTGGTGTTCGTTTTGTATTTCTTGCTGTGTTACCACCGAGTATATTCTTATTTGTGTTGTATATGCGTTGGTGGTGTCGGCAGTAGTGAAGTCGTTTGTTGAGTAGTGTGATTTGTTTTTAGTTGAACTCCATATAATATTTATGCGCAGCTTGCCCACGAAAGAATCTTTAGTGTCTAAAAGATCATTATTAACCAATCACAAACGCGAATTTTTCCTAACGTTTTCAGCCACTTTTGGTGGATTGTACAAGTCTCTTGTACAGAGTACAATATTTTTTAAACAAAAAAATGGAGAAAAAGATATTTTTGTGGGGGTTCAAATTTTCGAGTTTGTAGTTAGGGAATTTATAGATGATTTTGGTCAAGGATCAGAGTCAACATTACGCATGTAGTGGCATGGTTAAGTGTACAGTAGACTGGGATGCTGTGGTCAAGGATCAGAGTCAACATTACGCATGTAGTGGCATGGTTAAGTGTACAGTAGACTGGGATGGTGTTTTGAGTTAGGGTCTGTTCCAGAGTGTTAGTCGTCTGTCGGACAACACAGGGGTTTAAGTTGGTCGTCCGAGAAAGTTGTTAGTCGTCTCGGACGACAGTTAAAATCGAGCCTGGTATATTCCTACATAGGCGCCTAACCAGGGAGGCAGAACGGACAAGTACCACCCTATATTGAATATTTTATGAACTAATATTTTCTCGCCTTGCTTCCTCACCAGTTTTTACTTATCCACTTTTAAACAAAGAAATGCACCTATGCACTTCACCCTTCAATCCCAGCTAGCATTCTTCCTAAGGCCTTACTTATGTAGGAGGGTATGCTAAAAGTTACTTCTAGGCCTTATACTCCAGTAGGGTGAAAAAAATGCTTAACGTAAATATACATATCATTCTTTCTAATACTGAAAGTGAAATATATACATAAACACAACCAATCTTTCACTACAAGTCGTTCTTACGTTAGTTCACAAGCCTTTCTTTCTAGAGCTTAAACATAATCACTTTGGTCATTTCTTTCACAATCCCCTAGGTTACTTTATGTCAGGATAGAAGTCCTTCTCTCCAGGGCTGCCATGTGAACGTCTCTTTGTTTATTTCACAGGGCCGGAAATTAGCTAAGTCTTAAAAATCCTTCTCTTCAGGGCTGCCAAGTGAACGTCTCTTTATTTATTTCACAGGGCCGGAAATTAGCTAAGTGTTTTCTAAATTCACATTCACGAATTCTTACAGTCATCGTTAATTTTACAGGTTGCAAAGTTAAACACACTGTTTTTTCTTTTTTTTACTGGGAGTGGGGGAGTTGTTTCAGAGCTTTTTGTATTTGCAACGGGAGTGAACCATGTTTTGTTATAGGAAGAATGTTAGGTGAGATTCCCTGTACTTACTTTGTAATAGTGCTTGATGATTTAGAGCTCATGCTATGTGAAAGATGCTCTATACTGAAAAATTAACTCACATTCAACCCATCTTTTCCATCCAAGTAGTAGAGCAGAAGAGAATCTTCTAATATTATCTCTCCTCCGCTTTCCAAGTTCAGAATAATAAATATTACCATAATTAATTGTGATAATGTAAATTTTCAAGAAGCTTAGTGGCATTGATAACAAAGTAATGGAATCTTGGAACAAGATAAAGTCATTTTTTCACAGGTAAAAGAGGTGCTTTAACCATTTAATAACCACCATTATTTTTCTCTCTTTTTGTTCTCACAATTTCAATATTAAGGCTCAACCAAATCACAATTTGCTTCAGACGCTGATCATTAACCCGCTGTTTCTTTCCGCACTGTTATCTTATAAATAATAAAAAAAAGAGTCTCTCAAGTGGAAATAATTTTGTTATTTATACATCAGTCTATTTTGTTACATAAAATCATTGCGGGCAGTTTGTGAATTTTTCGTCCTAATTATTTTCAATACCAGCAATGTAAGCATCAAGAGTTAGTCAGGTCTGGAACGTGCCTTTTTGTGCTCAAACTTACGGGGGGGGGGTGTTTAATATCTGATTATGTTGGATCAGTTTTGAAAAAGCAATGTTTTTTAATATCATGAAAAGCAAAGACATTACAGGGCCAGTTGAAATGTCGTGTACACGGCATTGCCTGATAAATACATATACCTCAGTGAAATGGGAAATACGAAATATATTTCTGTTTTCTCCTTTATCAACCAATCTTTGTTTACTCCACCATACTTTCCTTTGAATGTCATGATAGACAACCCGTTACTACGTTTGTTGTTTTTAACATTGTGAAAAGAAAGATTATCAGTAGTTGAAAAATTAACCAATAACTCTATCTGTCTTACAGGAGCACTCAACTTGGACAGCATTAACAGGACACTCAGCGCATAACATGAACGTTTTATTATTTGTTTTTAGATTCGGTTTGTATTTAGACCTGGAATCGACGAATAAGCTGCTAGTTAAAAATCATTATTTTGTTGTTGTTGTTTTCAGAGTAAAACTTAAATAAATAATTCATTGATGTTGTTTGTAATTAAACACAAAGCTACACAACGGACTATCTGCGCTCTGCCCACCACAGGTATCGAAACCCGGATTCTAGCGTTGTAAGTCCGCAGACATGCCGCTGTGCCACTGGGGAGCTACTAGTGTCATTATAATAAGAATACGCTACTTATGTGTTTGTACTTCGTTCGAGTAAAATATCGTCTATATCCTTGGTTTTATCACTGGGGTGCTACTAGTGTCATTATAATAAGAATACGCTATTTATGTGTTTCGTACTTCGTTCGAGTAAAATATCGTCTATATCCTTGGTTTTATCACTGGGGCTACTAGTGTCATTATAATAAGAATACGCTATTTATGTGTTCGTACTTCGTTCGAGTAAAATATCGTCTATATCCTTGGTTTTATCACTGGGGGGCTACTAGTGTCATTATAATAAGAATACGCTATTTATGTGTTTGTACTTCGTTCGAGTAAAATATCGTCTATATCCTTGGTTGTATCTTCAATATAGCCGTGATGTAACGAAGATAAAACTTAATATCCTGAATTCTAAATCGCAGAAGCCTTGTGGTGTAACAGTAAGCAATAATAGATGATAATTAGATACTCAATAATATCCACTGGATATTTATTTCCATTGTTAACAAAATCTCGAACAATTGGTTAAAATAAATAGAAATGTCGAACACTAGCACAACTCTTTAACGTTTTTATTTATTTGTTTATATTTTTGACAAATGTTTCAGAAAAGTTTTGATTAGCATAAGAATTAAAATATCTACATTTAAGTTGAACATATGCTTCCTAAAAATAACTTACCTTCTGCCCTTCTTTCGCTTCTTCTGGACCTGGGAACAAAACGTACACATACATATATATAAACCATTCAAGAATATCAGATACTTAAAACTATTCTCTTTAATAATAATTTACTGAAAACAGTCAAAACCTTTACAAAATCAAGTTGTACTAACTAGTATGGCGTTGATAGAGCTATTTAATCTTTATATGAACGCTGGTTTCCAAAAGTTAAGAACAAACTGTTTGTTGAGCACAAACGATTTACTGCTTAACTTTTGTACAGCAGCGTATAATACAGTGGATGATAACTAACTCGTAAATAAACGCATGGCTTTCAAGAAGTACTGGAAATTGTAGTTGTTACGTATTTATTTTACAGTACAAGCTTCAGAATTTAATTGGAAGATAACCCTATGAGAAAAAAAAATCAAACAATATTTGACTTGTACAAGAAAAATTTAAAAACTGAAAATCATCGATAAAAGTGAAGAGCAGCATTCTACTATTGTAGCTGATTTTCCATAAGATTGTGTCACATGTGGTGAAACATGAAGAGCAGCATTCTACTATTGTAGCTGATTTTCCATAAGATTGTGTCACATGTGGTGAAACAAAGAATGAAAGTAATCGAAAACTCCTGCTCGTTAAAGCATTTTTCAACGCTTGGTAACAAAAGCTGAGTCATTAATTCAACAACGGGCTACAAAGAATAGAAAGTATAGCTCCAAATTAAAGCGGATTAAATAGTGTTTCGGACACAGTTAGTGGTTATTGAAGATGGAATACCATTTTCTAATTCTTACAGTAAATGTATTTGTTTTAGCTTTAGATTGTTGTTTCTTTTAGCGTAAATTCCACCTGCGTTGTGCCACTGCGAAGATCGAACTTCGGTTTTGAAGCCCTGACACTTATGGCTGTGATATAATATAACAATGATGTTCTGGTACAATACAAACTTGAAACTTAGAAACTGGTCAAACTAATCATTCTGATGTGACTTTGTCGGATTCCTAAACATATTCTTCTTCAAAAAATATTTTTGTGGTTATACCTTGAAACTTGCTATGGCGAACATGGAAAAAAAAAAAGGCCAAAGAACTAAAGAATATTGAAAAGTTCTTTTTATGAGCAAATTTTGCTTACATGTAAAATATTACTTGCTTGCTTCGGATAATCGCGCAAAACTACATAATGACTACCTGTCCCTAATATTGAATTGATAGACTCGGGGGAAGACACCTAATCAATAGCACCCACCGCCAACTCTAGAGCCTCTAAACGGTAAGTGTGATATGACCATCACTCTTATAACGCACATTGCCAGACTCCTATTCCAAGAGACCTTGATTTGTGTCTGTTGCGATTTGAAGCAGTGAATGCGTTATAAGAGTGACAGTCAAACCCTAGTATTAAAGTAGCCCAAGGGTTGGTGGTGGGTGTTGTTTATCAGCTGCCTTCCCTCTCGTCTATCTTTTCAAAACTATGGGCGGCTAGCGCAGATAGCCCTTTTGTAGTTTCGCGCAAGCGTCCGAAACAAACTTATAATACGTACTTTTATTGCAAGGGATGCGATACATGGACCATGAGATCCACGGCCCTTCGCTTTAACCATGTGAAAGAAGCATTATAAGATCTCATTCAAAAAAAAAAAGAATTATAAATTTTCTTAGGTATATTTTTTCTTACCTATAAAGTACAGTTAGAACAGGTAAATTAGAAATACATTTAAAGATACTGTAAATGATTACACAATTTATATATTTTATACCTATTTATACATACAGAGTGACTTCCGATATTTGCATGTGCAAGATTTTTGTATAGAAACTTAAACTTAGGTGTATAGATATGGTATGGCAATTTATAAACAACTGGATGATTGCACTCTGATGTTACTATCTCTTAGAAGGATGTAAGAAAACAATGTTTCAACGAGGATGGCATGTATAGTTTTGTTATCAAGACATAATAAGTGTTCTGCTGATCCAGCCATTCTAACTTGGAACCCTGCAATATCATTGTACGATAGGGAAAAGGTCATCTTCCATCACTAAAAAGATAGTTATATAAGTTGTTTCTCTATCTTCTTCCCACGGAGAAAATCCAATTTCCTTGTAAAAGAAGTTTCACTTCTCTCTAATGGTTTATAGTAGATCCATAAGCATCAGGATTACTGGAACTATTTCATCCCACCAAGTTTAGTAATGAGACTTTTTGCTTGTAACCAACTATACAATCACCAGTGTTCTCTCACGTTGTACGTGATCGGATTTCTTGAAAACTGAACAAACACATATATATATATATATATATGACAAATCATACTTTTTTGAAGATGTGATAACGTGAACTTTGACAAATTCACGGTGTTGAAAAAGACC